AATAAAGATAGGAAAGAAGAAGTTAAACTGTCATTATTTGCTGATGATATGATACTTTACATAGAAGACCCAAAAAACTCCACCAGAAGACTTCTAGACTTAATTGACAGATTCAGTAGAGTAGCTGGATACAAGGTCAGCACTCAAAAAACAATAGCCTTCTTGAACACAAATAACAGACTCACTGAGAGAGAAATTAGGGAAACAATTCCGTTTACAAAAACATCCAAAAAAATGAAATATCTAGGAATCAATCTAACAAAGGAAGCAAAAGACCTCTCTCTCTTTTTTTTTTTTGGTACCGGGGATTGAACTCGGGTCCTTGCTCTTGCGCAGCAGTCGGCGAAACCACTGAGCTAAATCCCTGGCCCTAGACCTCTCTCTCTTAATTCTATTTTTTAGTTTTTTTCCTCAGGCCTGCATCGTATACTGGGCAGGATACTGGAACCTAAAACATGGAGTCTTCAGTAGAGAGACTTTCTATGCTGGTTCTGTAGTGTTCTGTATTTTGAGTTAGAAGCTGTTTAGATGGTTGGGCTTGTTATGAAAATTCTTTGAGCTCTACATTTGTTTTGTACCCCTTTACTGTCTTACGAGATGTTTACAAAACAAAGAATAAATCAGAGGTGATTGCTTTGTACTTCATATTTTATCCACCAGAGAACCTGTAATGTGTTTCTTTTTCTCTAATGATCTTGCTTGAAAGATCTCCTTCCTTGTTTAAGCACCACTTGTCATTTCTTGTTTTTGTTTTCTTTTGACTTCTTTGTTTCCTAGCACCTTTTCTCCTCTGTTCTTTCTCTTTCCCTTAACCACTGTTCTGTTAATTTAGAGAGTATAACAGGGGTTAGAATGAGGACGGAAAAGTCAAGTTGGGGTTACTCAGTGCCAGCCCGCATGGAGGTAGTCTGCAGCTTTAGCTGGGGGACAGACTGCGCTCCTTCATTCAGCCAGCACTTAGCAGGCGTCTCCCTGCAACAGTCCCCTTCCACACTCTAGATTAACCCAGCCCTAGTTAGGTGGCAGGAGCAGCGTGTGCGGGGTGGGGAGCTGAGAAAGTGTCCAGGACTTGGAGAAGTACACACTGTCCTGTAGCTGGGGTGGCTTTATAATAATCAGGGGAAAGAAGAACGCATAGATGAATAATTGCAAAATAAGTCAAGTATAACCTGAGTGTATCAGTGCAGAAAAGGCCAGGGAAGAGAATAACCAGGAAAGCACTGACTTAGATTTTAAAGGGAAGAAAAATCTGAATGAGAAAGTCAAGTGGGAGGGCATTAAAATTTGGCAGGGTCTTCTGCAAAAGGGCAGGGAGGGAGAAGAAGTAAAGGAGGGTCTGAATTTAGGGTCCATGGATGTGAAAGGTGTTGGGGTTGTTGGTCAAGGGAAAAAAAGAGAAGGAGCTGTTAAAGGGACATGAGTGGAAGCAGAGTTCTAACGTGTAAATTTCGTTGTTAGTCACCATGGAGTCAGTCTTGATCTTTCTCCTGTAGGTGTTGGGAACAAGGAAAAGGAGGCAAAATTACAGCAGGAAGACCTTAAAGGGGCGTTTGCTGGGCTGACTTCAGAGAGATTTGGAGAAACAGCTGTCCAGGGGCCTGGCCTGGGACAGTCCTGTGACCAGGAGCCCAGGGGCTCTGGGAGTGGTCTGCCAGTGCTTCCTGCTTCCCAGCATAGTGTCCCCGTGCCTGATGACCTCAAAACCCACAGCTCCTTCTGGAAACCTTTCCAGTGCCCCGAATGTGGCAAAGGCTTTAGCCGGAGCTCCAATCTTGTCAGACACCAGCGAACTCACGAGGAGGAGAAGTCCTATGGCTGCATGGAGTGTGGAAAGGGCTTCACCCTAAGGGAGTACCTCATGAAGCATCAGAGGACCCACCTGGGAAAGAGGCCCTTTGTGTGTAATGAGTGCTGGAAGACCTTTAGCCAGAGACACCACCTGGAGGTCCACCAGCGGAGCCACACGGGGGAAAAGCCCTACAAGTGTGGGGACTGCTGGAAGAGTTTCAGCCGCAGGCAGCACCTGCAGGTGCACCGGAGGACACACACTGGTGAGAAGCCCTACACATGTGAGTGCGGCAAGAGCTTCAGCAGGAATGCCAACCTGGCCGTGCATCGGCGTGCCCACACTGGCGAGAAGCCGTATGGGTGCCAGGTGTGCGGGAAGTGCTTCAGCAAGGGGGAGCGGCTGGTTCGGCACCAGAGGATCCACACGGGTGAGAAGCCCTACCACTGCTTGGCCTGTGGGCGCAGCTTCAACCAGAGGTCCATCCTCAACCGGCATCAGAAGACCCAGCATCGCCAGGAGCCCCCACTGCAGTGAAGGCACCCTGTGGAGGACAGCCCCTCCACAAAAGTGTCTTTCATCTTAGGGAAGTGCTGGGGGTGTGCAGTGATGGCTGTGGAAAGGCAGGCTGGCCCACTTTCTTTCCTTGTGCTAACAAACACAGGAAGAGAGCAAGGCCTGCTTTATCCAGGGCTTTCAGAGGGCGCAGCTGCCCATGCCTCCTGCCCTTAACCATTTTTTGGTGAAACAGCATCCTGAGCTTCAGGTCAGGCTGGGGGTTTTTCACCATCAGTGGGGTGTTCAGATCTACCTCTTAAACAAGTCCAGTAGTAAGGGCAAAATTTTGTCACAAGTTGGCAGCTCCAAAGCTTGTTTTTCTGAGAGTTCCATCCTGCCTGCAAGATCATTAGCTCAGGCCCCCCCCGCCCCCTGGCATGCACCCATTTTCCTCTTGTGCTCCTGGCACTGAGAATACCATGGTGAGTAAGACAGATAAGACCTTGTTGTCATGGATCTTGGGGTATAGGAGGAACCACAGACCTGAAGCAATCAGTAACCCCAAATATTCCAGAGTGTGTTTATGTTGTGGTCAGTGCCACTGGAGAAAATCTTGTCATGTGCTCTCATTCTGCCAGCCTGCTTCCATGCTAGATCTCACCACCACTCTGTCCCACTTGGGGTCTTTTCTCATGCAGCCTTGTTTATTTTGCTTTATTTGTAGCCTCCTTTATCTCTGACTGTATCATTCCACCCTCAGGTGTAATATTTCCCCATTCCATTATTCCTTGTACTATAACAACTGTTAACACATCAACCATTAGGAAATTAATATTTTGCTATAGTCACTGAATAAACACAAGAATATTTTTAAAGAAATCTTCAATTCTGTACAAAGGTGTGATTAAATGAGCCTGAAAGATGGACTAGTATTAATTCCCTACATTTGATGACACTTTACAGTAAAGAAAATGCTTTTCTCTATGTTCTCATGTGATTGGTTCCAAAAGTATTTATTGAAACATTGCAATCTGCCAGGAAATCTTCTGGGTGCTTGGGACTCACTGGGGGAGCAATCCGATGTTGAAGATTCATATGTTGGTCAGTGTACTTGATCTTCAGGACCTGTGGACACTCCATCAACTCTCTGGGCCTGGGTAAGTATTCTTGGTCCTGGTAGCTTCTTGCCCTGAATTGCTTTCGCCACTTACCTCTGTTGCTAAAAAGCCTCTGTCCTTGGTGCATCTGGGCCCTCCAAGACAAGACACTCATGGTCCTGGACACCACCTATTAGGGATGAGGAGGTGGTATTGCTGATTTCAGGAACATAAAGATTTTGTAGGCATCTAAGAGATAACATTTCTTTCACAGGTGAGAAGATAGAGTATCTGGTCACTGCCTAACTACTATGGGCTGCACTGCACTGCTGTGTTACTTTTAAACTGCTTTTGAATACCGAATAAGTTTGCCTTTTGCTAATAGCATACTATTTTATTTTATTTTATTTTTTTTGATAGTATACTATTTAAAGATAGGGTTTTGTTACATGGTGCCTCATGTTCTTTTGCTAAGTTTTTCTTTTTTTTCATTGTGCACTACTAATAAGGTAAATGGTCTGACTGACAGAATTCTATTACCTCATACACTTTGAAACACATAATCTTATCACTTATGACCTTCCTTGCCCATCAGCTCTGGCCACAAGGCTCTACTAACCAGGATGTGTTATGTGAGACACGCACACAGAGCTGCTGCTGTTACTAAGTAATGCTGAGATCCACGTGCAAGATTCACAGGATCTGCACCTCACGAGGCCCAAGGCTGGCCTCCCAGGAGACCTGTGTCCCACAGTAGCTAGAATACTTCCGCAAGAAATTTCCTCTCATATACTATTAGGGTATTCAGATTCAGTGTGTATGAAACAGGCAGGATAATTGCCCAATCCTCCCTTTTATTTACCTGTTTTCACAGTAGTGAGCTGGTTGCTTTGTTCTTGTTAGAGGCAGAGCCTTGCACCCCCTTTTTTATGGCAGTGCTTAGAATCAAACCTAGGGCCTGACATGTGCTAGGCAAACACAGCCACTGAGCTATCCTAGGCCTAGGTGATCAGTCTTTAAATGAGTCGTAGTGCATTCATGGATTTAAACATTTGATACAATTACATTTGATGCAGTTCAAATTTGATGCTCAAAATATTTCATCTTTGGCCAGTGAGAGCCTCTTTCATTTGGCTCCTCAAACCTTCTGCCACAACCTCAGTCACTGACAGCTTCTTTGCTTCTTGGGATAACAAAATGTCCCAGTCTCATCTTTGTATTTCCTGCCCTTTTTGAGAGGGAAAGGGAGTGATTAATATGTCAGGATACTTGTATACTGGGAAAAGGCCAAGGGAACATTTGGTCATCTTATACAGATATGCATGTATAAAAAGCCCCTGCTGTAGGGCCAGGTGTCTGTAGCTCCTTCCTGTGGTCATGCTATGCAGCTGGCTGATGACGGGGATCCACAGAAGTAAAGGGGAAAGGCTGTCCTTCTTAAAGAGTTATGACCTTTGAAAGAGAAACCTTTTTGTATCCCATGGATGGTGGTAGATCTAGGTAACTGTCTGAGGTCTGTCCTGGGGAGCTGTTTCATCAAAGCATTCTTGTCCTTCTCAAGAGTGTGTGCTCTGAGGATCATCTACAGGCTAATTATACTTACTTTCAGTACCTGTTTTATCCCAGCTGAGGGGCAAGTATGAGTACCTTTGTTTCTTGAAAACTAAGCTGTTCCAAGTCTTTTCTTCCACCCTGTAGCACAGGTTGGCTTTATCTACATCTAAGGTGGGGAAGATACCTGGCAGCAGTGTTTCTCTGGAGTCTTCTAAATTGTTGCAGGATTTCTCAGCCTTGTCATTATTGATAATTTGTGCCAGATAGTTATGTTTGGGGGTGGTGGTGTCTTGGCTGTTCTGTGCATTGTAGGATGTTTAGCAGCATCCCTGACCTCAACCTACCACATGCAAATAGCACCCTCTAGCCGTGACAATCACAGATGTTTCTGGATATTGCCAGATGTTCCCCCTGTGGAGCAGAATATACCTTAGCTGAGAAACACTGCTTTCACATTCAGGACAATATTTGAAGTAAATTAATTTAGTGATGGAAAGAAAAGACTGGATTCTAAGGACCAGGTCTGCTTCCTGCTAAGTTTAAAGCTCCAGCCTGACTCCTAGAAAACAAAAGAGTTTTACTAGAGGTCACTTGGGTGGAAAGTATTGCAAAGGAAAGTCAAGAACTACTGAAGCAGGGCCGGGGATTTAGCTCAGTGGTTTCACTGCTTGCCTGGCAAGCAGAAGGACCTGAGTTTGATCCCCGGTACAAAAAAAAAAAAAAAAATTGGGCCGGGGATTTAGCTCAGTGGTTCCGCTGCCTGCCGCAAAAGCACAAGGTCCCAAGTTCGATCCCCTGTACCAAAAAAAAAAAAAAAAAAAAAAAAGGAAACGAGCTATTGAAGCAGAATCTCAAAGTAGAAGTCTAGAATTCTACAACAAGCAATGTAAAATGCTTCCCATACATGCAGGTTTTTTTTTAGGCAAGTCCCTGCCACAGAGTCTCAACAGTCCAGTGAACATTTGCTTGGGACCTAGATTAACTTTACCTTATTTGGGAGGGGACGCTTAAGTGCAGGACAGCCAGCCATAACCTTTCTTACATAATAAGTTCTCCAAAGGTACAGAGTAGGGCCAGGCATGTAGCTCAGCAATAGAATGCTTGTATAGCATGTTGGAAGCTCTGAGTTTGAGCCCTGGTGCTGGAAAAAAAAGGTACACTGTAGATAGTAAATATTCAGTGAATAGATTAAAGACCTGAATGTCTACATTTTCTAGTAATTAGAAGGCTCCCATTTGATCCTCAGTACCACAAAAAAAAAAAAAAAAAAAAAAATTAGACGGCTTCCAGGAGGGTTCCCCAGGGAGAAAAAACACTATAATAAATTGCCCCTCTTCTGTGGCTTTCTTGGTCTGGAAGTCATCTCTAGCCCTGGAGTTACCAACTGCAGTTGTACCAAATTTATTGAATTTTAGGGTAGGCTCTTCTCTACTTTTTTTTTCTTTCTTTCTTAAATTCTTTTATTGGTACATTTTAGGTATAAAATACGTTTACATTTATCATTGGGAGCTTGTACCTGTACATACTGTATCTTGGTTCTTATTTTGTCCCCATTACCTGTGCACCCTTCACCCCCTCCAACCTTTCCTATTTACATAGACTTCATTTCCATTTTCTTTTCTTTTCTCATCTTTCCTTTCCCCTTCGCCTCCCACCACCCCTTTTCTTCCTATTTCAAATTATCAGTTATTTGTTTTAATCATTTTAATCCTTATTTACACTTTTAGTTTCTCACACTAGAGAAACTATTCGGTAT